TCACCCTTCGTTACCTTGCCAGAGAACCAGATTCATCATATACAGTATCCTTTACACATTTCTTCACTTTTATTTGTTTTTTTAGATGAATGGTACAAAGACTATGAACTGGAAAAACAGGCTAATAACATAAGAGAGCAAGTGTGACTCAATGACCTGAAACTGGATGGGAAAAAGGAGAGGATGCCAGGAGAAGAGGGAGAGAGCAGGGCGCAGGAAGGAGGGGAGAGATGAGTGCTTGAGAGACGTGGATTCTTTGTGACAGTTCAAAGTTGCTTTTCTCTGCTGCAGCATCACTGTGTCCTCCCAGCTGGAGTTCAGAAACAGGGGTAGCGGGGCTGGAGGAGGGCGGGCAGGGGTTCCAGGGGCAGATGTTCAACCGAGGAGCGGAGCAGGATTCTGTGCTGCCTGCTAGGATCAATATGGGTTGTCACACCACAGCAGCAGACGGCTGACCCCGAGGGCCAGGACAGACAGAACAGGCCAGATCTGAAACACCAATGAAAAGAAGCAGGGGATGTGATGGAGCAATACGCTCTCACAGGACACACTGAGAAGCCGACACAGAGAATTCATTTACGTACTGCAAAACTAAACATAGCATGTGTGTTTTTCCACATCTCAACATCACACCAGTGTACTGTTAGTGAACTTGTGTCTCCAGTAAATGCACTGTCACACAATACTTGTATATACATAATTAGAACAGCTGGCGAGAAAAAGAGGAAAGTTTTTTTTACCACCCAAAGTAGGCGGAATGCAAAATGCAGCATAATTATGTTATATTCCTTTTGACAGCTGATTTATCTATGTATGCATTAGTAACTTGGTGGTGTGTTTACTTGCTGCTATTATGTACCTCGAGAGAGAATGAGACTGAAAGAGAGGGACAAGGAGAGTGTGTGGGCAAAAAAACTATCAGGAGTTGACAGGATTAACATCACTGATGGATAATTTATCTACATGCAGAATTCTACAGCATATTCCTTCATGTGCTCCATCCATGTTATCTACTGTATATTGTTTCCACTCCCATCCTAAACCTCGCTCTTTCTGTCTTAACTTCTTCAAGTAGTTTTTGTTCCTCTTGCTTTTTTCCACCACATTGTCTAGGTTTTTCCACATGACAGTAAACGCTTCTGACAAAGCTTCCCAAAGACACAGTAATTTATTAGCAAGGAATGAAATGATACAGATAAAGAGTGGCCAGAATCTTACCTGGTTCATTTTGACATTTGTGTCTCCAGCTCTGCAAAGAATCTCAATGATTTCCGCTTTCTAAAAAAGACCATTTGAACCAATGGAACCAATTTTTTAAACGCACAACAGGGGTTGAGTGCTGTTGGCTTTCAGCTCTTGGGTTCTAGGTTCAATTCCAGACTGGTGTTGTGACTGTGCCCAGGTTTCCTCAAGGACATTGAACAAGTCCACCCAGTGGACAGTGAAATAAAACCAGAGAATAAAAGTGGAAACTTGAAGCCGATGGGAGAGTTAATTTATTTACTGTATTGCAAAACTAAACATAGTGTGTGTGTGTGTGTGACCAACGCGGTTCTGCGCGGGCTCGTGGCCTCCGCCACCCCGTTTGTAAGTTTGTAAGTTGTTTTAACGTGTCTTAGCTAAAAAGGCATTAATGAAGTGCACTAAAAACAGCCCAAGTGCAAAAGACACCATCCGGGCTAAACTGTCTCTACTGGTTCTGGAGTCAGTGAGCTTCTAAAGCACAATAGCCATTCTGTATCTACTGAAACCTTATCTGATTCCATACAAAAGAAATGTCACACATGGCAATCTGTTCCAAAAGCAAATACCCCAGTTATGCACATTAACAGCAACACAGGAATAAAGATGACAACATTTAACAATTAAAAAAATTATGCACTGATTAAAAATGCTACTTACGCTGGAAGAGGCAGATTGCCTTTTTTTTAACGTGCAAAAATATCCATCTGCCTTTTTCTGTAGTGGATGCAGGAAATATTTATGCACAACCCCAACAGATTATTACGAGAATAACTATCCTTTTTCTCTCTCTCTAAATAGACAGTGAAATTACTGTAAGTGAGCGTATACACACAGTACATGCACATGCATTCACATAAACAAATGCATTAATTAGATCTAGTTAAAGTACAGTGCAGTGCAAGTGGTCAATTTCCAGCATGTGATGCACTTGAACTAAAAATAGACTGTGTCATTGAATATAGCACTGGGATATTGAGTATAGCACAACATTTGTGCTATAAAGCAAAAGGAATTTCAAAGCATAAGACAGGAACAGGACCAATGTGTCATTTCAGGACTTCCCAAGAGATTCAGACTTCAATCTGACATTTTTTTAATGTTATTTTTGCTATTCAAAGATTTATTTCAAAGTTTACTGAGGTGGGTTTGAAATGCAGCAGATTAGTACCTGGTCTATAGTTTGAATGTGTAGGAGTATACAGAAATTACCTAAACCAGGAGCAAATAGGACAAAGCCTATTTTGATTGTACCGATGGAAAAAAAATTCCTAGAGGCTAGAAATTTGAACTCACATTTTAACTCAAGGAAGTTGCAATGAATTAAAATGTGTCTACAAACACATTTATCACTATTATGATCAAATGAAGGAATGTTTTAAATTTTCTAAACTAACAACTTGACAGCTGTGTTTCTACACAACTACAGACTGCACAAAGCACAGAAACGTCATTATCGTTCCATTTGTGTTGGCTTGCAGAGAAGATTGGATGACATAGCATTTTCTTCTCAAGCTCTCAGCCCATAGAAATATTCATAGAAACCTTAGAAGACTCTCTCTAACTTAGAGACAGATAAAACAAAGGGCTGCTGTCAGTCAGAGACATTGGGTCTATTTATTTTCTCCTCATAAGATAACTTTAAGAATTTACATTTATAACATCACACTTTTTTTGCTGCAATGCGGATGAGGGTTGGGCATATAGTTGTTTTACTTGGCTGATGAGCTCTGTCCTTTTAATAGGTGTAAAAATGTTTCACTTCTCTGATTAAAAGGACCTTGTATACTCAGTATCTACCCAGGAAATTCAGTTTAGCACTGATGTTGATGAGAAAGCATTTAACATTTCAATACTATTTCAAGCAGTACCCTGAGGTGTGTCAGTGTGTATATCTATATCTATGCTGCAAGCGACATATAATGTCATGCATATACTTTGCTGGTGTAGAGGTCAGTTCTGCATCCTCATTCTTGGGTCCTGGGCTTGATTCCCATCAGCAGCACATTCTGTGGAGAGTCTGCATACAGTATGTGCATGGATTTACTCTGGGAGCTCTGGTATCTTCCCACCTTGAAAGGACATGCTGGCTTGGTTAAATGTGGACTCCAAACGAAGCTCATTTATGTTTCTATGCAGCCTAAGATGGATCTTGCCGATCTTAACCGCTCCAGCTGTGGGATAGGCTCTGTGTTCCTTTGACCCTTTCCAGGAATAAGGAGATTTGTGATGATAGAAACCTGAATGGATGAATATATACACAGTATATATACAGGTAACAGCACTAATAGGCATTTCTGCTGCATTACTTGTGCTATTTACCAGAATTGTCAGAGTAATTGCTACCATTTTTAGTGCTCGCAGAGAATCAAAGGCTGCAAAAAATGTACCAGTGCGAATCTGGCAGACTTAAAAGGAAAATCACTTGTTTCATGCTTATGTGACTCAAACATTTCAAGGCTCACTTTGCTTTTACAGGCTCTAATTATTTAAAGTATTTTCCAACAATTTCTTTATTAAACATATGCTTCCTTTTGACTGAATAATTTTCCCACAACAAGCCACACACATTTCTTAACTTAGAGGTGATCCTTAGGAATTTTCGCATCTCTGAATGGATCTTTGAAGACACCTCTGACTTTCTTGGCATCATGGTATCGCATCATTATTTGTAATTTTTATTTAAATATTTCTATTTTATTATTATAAGATATTACCAGTATTGCCATTTATTAGGTACAGTAAAAAAGAAATAAAATCCTGGAGATTCAGTATCCATGTGATTCAGGATGTTCTAATTCCACTTTAAATTGCATGAAAAGGGCAGATACGGTACAATAACATTAAAGGCCTGAACCCCAATATCCACATATTTACTGATTTTATATGCAGTATCTGTAATTCTGTGCTGCAACTGACTGAACTGTAAACGGGTAGCGCATCTATGAATGTGATTAAGAAGCAGCATCGGAGCTAAAGTGTTTTAAAGTCACTATGAGTTATGGGATAGAAGAATATTAGCTATGGCTTTTTCACAGTGCTGGAAAGCTGTGTAAAAAAGAACTTATTCCAGTTTGTGTATACACAGACAGATCTGTTTCCCAACAATCCCATAATACACAGGGAGGACCCAGTTGCCCTTAAACACACTGAAGTTCACTGAAGTCGAGTCACAGTCAGGCCACAGTGAGCCCTCATACACGCAAAAACATGTCATGTCTTCAAGTCCTTCTGCGAAACAGACATAGCTAATTAATATTCATATATTCCATAATTCATATCTGTCTACCTATCAAACCTACTGCCTTATAGCCACGTCTTTAAATCTATAGTAGAGGTGTTCATTAACAATGATTACTGTGATAGAAGAGTTCTTTTTATTTTGCTTATTTGCCTAAAAGTGCACTTAAATCAATTACTGCAGGGGCGATTTGGACTGGAAAGTAGTACCTCTGTCCGCTGATGGCTTTCCCTCGTCCCATGAGGACTGAAGCATCGTTGTTTAATACATGGTCTTGACTAGAGCTGACACTCAAAAAGAACATTATAAAGAAAGATACATATTCAAGGTTTAATTTTATATCACAACGTGGTTATTATTCATTTTGAGCATTTATACTTTATGCAGGAACAGTGTGAATACTTTATCTTAGAGTGACCAATATAAAATAAAGATGGTACAAATAAAAATTTTTAACACAATAAAACATTGTGATGTTAATCCTAAAGGTAGGTAGGGCTAATTATAGTAGTATTAATACATCATCAAAATGTCAGATTTATTATTTATTTAACAGAATCCCTTAGTATCTGATGTGTAAATCAGGTGAAGGCACAGATACTGACTTATCATGATAAATCTTTTGCTTGAAGCTGTACATTAAAAAAACATAACCTCTTTAATTAACTGGTTGCCATGGCAAAGCGTTTTTGTTTAAATGGCTCTTTAAAAAAACAATACATAACAGACTAAAAAAGTGCAGCATTTAAGAAAAAAAAATATTCCAAGCTGTGTTCCCGCATAACAGAGCACCAATTTGCAAATGACACTTTTCAAACTGTGCATACCCCTTCAAAATGTATGGACTGTATTTTTATATATACACGGTTAATATACTATACCATATAATTATGATCTGCAAGATTTCTTTTTCTTCTTTAAAAGGGTACAATAATGTAGTAATTAAACATCAGTCACCAGTAGACAAAATAAGCACAAAGGAGTGAATGACATATCCCTCTGAAAAGCTGCAGTCTCTTTCTATAGAGACAACAACGTCTTTTTCAGTTGATGATGTACTGAATATGTATATAAACCATAACAGAACAGGTGCTTTTTGCAAAATAAAGTGGAGTGCATTCTTGTCTGCCACAACACAGAGGTATCATCATGGGCCTTTATAGGGGGATCTTTCATCCTAGAAAGTTATTTTTCCTAATCAAATGTTGAAACAGAAAGGACACACCTACATCCATGTACACACAGTGCACCTGTGTGTCACAGAAGGTTTTAGTAAAACATCAGCAGAAACCTGAATATGATTACAGTACTACCACATTTTGTATATTGCAAAACAAACAACAATATAATTAAAAAATAGTATTTAAAAAAACAACAGGGTTCTTTCATCTTTAAAGCCTACATAACTTGTAGGCTTTCCATCACCTCTGTCACTGGACATTTTTTATAAATGTTTTTTTTCCACCATTGAATAGAAGAACATTTATAGCAATCAAATACATGTTTATATAATTCACTGAAATTGTGTTATCTCTGTACACTGTGATGTGGTTCACATTCATTGTAAAACCTTGAAAAATATAATGATACAAATCAGAGTCTTAAAATTAGATGACATTTGCCTTTTGCTGGAATTGTGACCCGCATTCGTCAGTCTCCAAGACAGATTACATCTAAGAAAAAGTGAAAGTAAATGGTTCTGAGGAAAAATCAAATGACAAAAAAAAACAACAGGAGGATTTCTCCTGAAGTGGCTGTCTGTTCCAGTGGCTTTAAAAAGAAAAATACCAAGCAGACCTAAAAAGTCTTAATTTCACAAAGTGGTTGTGAAAACTGCAAATCAGTGTAAGATTTGAGATAATTGAGGACTGAAGACTGAAGGGCAACAGGCTTTGTAAGAGCACTGTTAAGTACCAATTTTCGTTCTCTAGATACAAACTTGGCACTGAAAATAGATGTCGGATGGGAGAGGGAAAAGAGCAGCATTTCCTGCAAAATTAAAACAAAACAGTGTCGAGATGTTCGGGATCAATAAATCTCCACATTATCTTTATCCACCTCCCACATACAGTATGTTCTTACAGAATCTACAGTAGATCAGAAAGAAAAAAGTTACTCCAATGCGTCTAGTTAACCAGAACCTCATTAGTTGAACAGATCAAACGGTAGCATGACTTCAACCTTTCTAGAAAAAAGGGAACATGTTTTAAACAATAAGAGATAGACAGCAGAAAACCACACGACAGCCTAGATGACAGTTCAATACATTCATGTGAAAGATCTCAGTGATGTCTTGGCCTGCTCTGTTGTGATTTGCTATGACATACAATGGAATTTGATTATGTCAAAAAAGTCATGGGGTTAATGAAAGCACCAGTGACTGCAAGCAATCTGGAAAATGCTTTCCTTCATGATATATTGTGTTGTTTATTGAACTAAACAGATTAACCATGATAGACTGTTTCTGGACGGCAGCAATTTACAGCTCATAAAAAAAAAATTGTTTCCGATTTTTTTTGTTTCTGTTCTTCCTGCTCATCTTTAGAGCTGTAATTAGAAAATTAATTTCTTGGTGAAATTACCGAGACCTAATAAAGATGACACAAGGTCAAATAATGGCTTCAGTTGTACATTTTTTACAAAAACATCTCTCTTTGCTCTTGTTGTAATCAGGCTGCAAGTCACTAAATCACAATTTGCTTTACAAAAATAAAGAAATTCAATCTGGAAACACACCTCTGGATAATAAGAGAAGTGACAAAAAGAATTAGCAAAAGAAAAGTCCAAAACACAGGAACTGAGAGATATGTCAGTGGTGTTACAATCAAAGCATACTATTCACACTACTGCCTCACCGCCCACCACTAATTATTATCACAGTCACCATAATTAACACTTAACAGTTCTTTTCATTATATTAGAAATTTCAAAAAGAACAAACCCAAATATACAATATGTTAAAAATGTAATTCCTCTGGATGTGCATGTTTGTGTTCTATACATCAGTGTTGTGGAATTGGATGTCTTGGTTCTGCTCTTTTATATGTAGCAGAGAAAACCCAGGCAAGTGCAAAATTAGCAGAGCTCCACTGCAAAACAAGGATTTCACAAAGCTGTTTGCACCACAGCTTACTATGGAAAATATATACATATGTATATCTGTGGAAAGGAGGCTGATAAACTCGTATTAACACAATTTTCCATATCTGACTGTGTGAAAACAGATGAGTAGTGATAAAAGTGAGATGCAGAAAACACTCAGGTTATCCCTTTTCATGCTGTTGATATATGGTACATTAAATTAGTATTTGTTACTTGCCCACAATGAGGAAATTGACTTATTTCTCTTTTAAAAACTTCTTGTTTTGATTACTTTGCTTGATTTGAAAGCACATGCTAAAGGCTCCAAAACAAAGAAAGTGTTTTGAATTGCACTGTGTTTGTAACTGGCTGCTTTTGCCCAAAGGTCTGGTAGTAACTTGTGTAGGAGGCTGTTAATGATTCTTTCAAAATGCAGTCGCCATGTTGTTTTAAACCCCTATAGTTAAAGTGCCTTTAAACTTGGTATGCGATGTCTTCATTTGACTCTGCCCACTGTGTCTGCTCAGAGAGGGCAGCCAGGGGCACTCAAAAAAACTGACAGACAAATCCATTTCTAAAAACACTTAAGGAGAATCTTTAATGGCCCCTGAACACAAGTTAGATGCCCAGTGGTGAAGAGAAGAATCTGAAAACCCAGGGTTGGTTTTCCAGTTATTCAGCTCTTTACAGCAACAGAGGCAGTAATAGCATTCAGTCCACGTTGTCTTTTTACAGAGCACAATTTTTATTCATTAAGGGCTTTGTTTTGTCGTTGTTTAAAGAACTTTGGAACAACAAAGTATGCCTTTTTGTTGTTGCAGGGCCAGTTTTTGAAACGGATTTGGAAAGTTAAGACCTTAGTTGAGAGGAGCGCTGGCCATACAGCTGGAAAGTACTTAGGCTTAACTGCTTTGCTCTTTACAAAAATAAAGAGTTCTGAAAAGGTATCTTAAGGCTACTAGCTATCCACAGAAGGTTATGGAATACCACCCTTGCTGAAGACTCAAGCAATCAAAAAAATCTACCTAGCAATTGTACTTCAAAATTGTAGATCTAATAAAAATATAATATCTTTACAAAAACAGCTAAAGATATGTCCAAACTTGGACAAAGCTTTTTTTAAACTCCATAATTCTAACTTCAATTACTTCATTGACACTTGGGTTTTTAAAAGTAAATAGGTCATACGGACTGGAGAAAATGTATTGATGTAATTGTCTTATTTTTAGCGAAGATTAAAATTAAAACTGTTATTTCTTGAGTACTGTACCAACATAGAAGATAGAGACTGTTCCTCCTCAGAGTTTTCTGTAGAATATGTTTAGTTTTAACATGCTCTATATTTTTAAATATGTGTTGAAACACTGTTCTCTTCAGTGCTGGTGTTGAAATAAGCAGCTGTGGACAGACATTTGCGTAGAGATCACAGATAATGAGAAAATGAAATACCAGCAAAATACCATGTAATAATTCTGATTCATACAAAATATGAGAGACTGCAATCAAATGTAAATCATGCAAAATTTGACCCAGAATAATTGAACACATTTGCATTAAATAATTCTGCAGCTGAAAAGAAGAAAACGTTACCAGGCGAATAGGAAGGTTTTCCACAACTGCATTGCTATTCAGATCAAGTAGTGAGGTGAGAGGACCTAAGTGGTTTAGTTTTCAGGACCTCTCAGACGCTTTTGTCCTGCATTTCAGCAGGTAGCCAGGGAGGAGTCACTAGCAGACAGAACTGTCTGGCACTGAGTGCTACTCTCTGGCTTCTATCACAAGTGAGGCAGAAAAAAGACAGATGGGCAACTTAACATATGTCAGATTAAAAACAAACAAGCTGAAAAAGTAAAATAAAAGCAACCCTCAATGTAATTAGCCATGTCCTTTGCAAAGTAAAGACACAGTAAGTAAATAAATTAGTAAGTAAGGCTTCGGACATGTAGCCACCAGATGGCCTTTGATGCTCTCTTCCTATTTGACAATCCATGTTTTCCAGGACTCTGTTGTCCGTAAAAAGCCCTTTACTGTTTTATCTACACATGCGCCCCTCCTTCCCAGCGCTCTTCGTGTTTCCGAGACTGTCTCTTTGGCACATATTTTTTCTTCCCGGTGAGGTGTGAGGGCCTGGCTAGGCAGACGGAGAAGGTTCACAGCGCCAGAGGGTTCCCATTGTGGCGTGAGCGTGACCGCTCCAAGCCCGCACGCCGCTGATCTGCAAAGACAAACCAGGGCAGAGTGTGAGTCCTCGGTCATCCACAGCCAGCTGCACACAACCCACAGTGGCTTCAGGAGAAGTGGACTAGCCTGTTCCCAGTGTGTGTGGTCATAGTGAAAAAGCAAGCTGTGCCTTTTTTCAGCAGAATCGCACAGCTATTGTAAGAAGATATTTCATTTAACAGTAAATGATTTTAAAGAAATAAGCAGTACACATTCATTTCTGACTGGAACCTGATTTAAAAACAGAGACGAATTCCCCCTTTTTTTTCTTTGCAACATGAGCTCTATAAAAGTACAGTAGGTTCCGTATGCTGAGTCGGGTTGTCATGGCGTCAAAAAGACCAGAAATAAAACAAAAATGGTGAAAAAGAGACAAAGAGAGGTGGGGACATGTGCAATGTGAGTGTGCAGGCTCATGCTACTATTTGATCTGTTCAACCCAAGAGCTCTGCAACCTCTTATAAACAGTGTTCAGTTCACAGAGGAGATGCAACAAGAGCACTAGTGTGATGCAGACACACTGGCCTTGGAACAAGGCATAACAAAAAGAACAAAGCAGCAAGGGCGCAAGGTGAAGGTCAGTCCTGGGAGACAGCCCAGCGATCAGGCACTGCAAGCACAGGTGGATATGAACCACCACAGGAAGCCAGAATGGTAATGAAATAACATGCTTTTGAGCTGACTTCTAGTTAGCTTTTTGTTCACGAGTGTGCACTGAACTCTTTGTAACCTCACCATTCAAAGGTACAGGAAAATAATTTATCAGAAGTGGGATGACAGGAGACGGTGATTGCTGCGTCGATTCAGTGCACAACTTAGCGATCAACATAGACAGCAGTCCAAAAGTGGGACACTGACTCCTAGCATCACACACAGTTCCCATGAGGGTGAGTGTATCTGGAATTAATGCATACAGAATAGCAAAAAACTAGCCATCCAATCGGTGAATTACGCCCACCTTTCAGAAACGAGGCAACAATGCAGAAGATCTTTGAATGGCAGTTTGTGGTGCAAACTGTTAGAACAGTGCAGCAAACTGCCTAAGGGCTCGATGTGTCATTCATTACAACAGGTAATGAGCTGAATGAGACTGTGAGTGGGACGCAATCACTTTCTCCCGTTTACCCACAATGAAAGAAATAGCTTTCAGTTCAGGATATGCAGCAGGCACACTGGGGGAGCAGAAAAGAGGAGCATGAGCAAAGCCGAACAATGGTAGTGGAACAGCAGCAGTGCAGACTGAATGTCTCCTGCGTCACTGCATCCCAGAATCTCAGAATTTCATGCAAAGTTAATTAGAGCTGGCGTCGGAATGCTACCAATAATTAAGTTACTTTTAACCAATCAAACTCATATTATGTCCTATGTCATATGTGCTAAGGAAAACATTTCTCCTACATGCTGTGTATATCAGAGACACCTTCATTTTCTCAGAAGGCAAAAATGTCAGTGCTGAGTTTCAGGCTCAGACTTTAAGCAGGTTTGATAATTATTTTTTTTAGAAAATATAAAATATACAACATGGTTATTTCATACAGCTTGAAGAAACATTTTTGTAGTATTGATGCTGTTTGTCTCTAACAAGTAGATTGTGAATCTACTTTTTATACAAAAATAGACTTGTGGCAAAACACTTATAAGTGTTATAAAAAATTATAAGTGGCAAAACACTTATAATTGTGCAAAAACGTGTAGAGATTTTATCTAGAATTGCCTTGAAATAAAATGTCTTGTATTAAGAGAAGGTCAACAGTGCTGTATCTTTGAATACAATAGACAAAGACAAAGCATATTTGAAGAAACCAGAGTGCACATAAGTTGTTCCGCCCTCTTCTACTTCTTAATTTAATCTTGTTTTTATAAAGTAAAACAAGATAATTCACAGATTCACAGATAATTATATACAGTATGAACCTCCTAGTAATAACCAATAACCTCTCCATATATTATTATTAATTTGTTTAGTTGATGTTTTTATCTATTGTATCGTGTTAATAATAATAATTGCTTACACTTATATAGCGCTTCACTCAATGCCAAAGCGCTGTACAGGTAATGGGGATCCCCTGCACCACCACCAATGTGCAGCCCCACCTGGATGATGTAATGGCAGCCATAGCGAGTGACAGAATGCTCACCGCACATCAGCTATTATTGGGGAGGAGAACGGTGTCCCCATCACTATACCTCTTCAAGCTGCAACCTTAGTTTTTCCCAGGAGGTCTCCCTTCTACTGTAGGGACTGACTAGACTCGCACCTGCCGAGCTTCAGTGGGTTCCCAGGTGTGAGTTGCAGGGTCATATGGCTGCTGGCAAGTATTAGTACTGCTAAGCATTTTATTTAAATGGTCTCAGTAAAACAACTTGCTCAGGGGTTCAACAGGGTGCTTTAAAACCTAAAACGTTCCAGTTACAAGTCCAGAGCCATCTCTGCTACTTCATACTGCTGAGACATAGTTTAAAATACCATAGAAGCACTGCACCGTTGAGCTGGCTAGCCCATGTGCAGTTAGAGAATGTTAAACCAAGAGAACCACACTTCTCAACAATTCTCATTGGTTCAGAAGTTTAAAAAACTACAGGTAGGGGATGATTTGCAGAACATTTTTTCCATGTGTAAGTGAGCCTTTTTTTCAGAAAACACTTCTTAAAACCAGATGAGCAATAATCATGCTTTTACATTTTGAGAGAAAGAGAAAAAGTTTTTGAGAAAGCCATGGCAGTGATCAGAAATTTGTCTGCTGTCATTGAGCTTGATGGCTTTTTTACCTGGTTTTCCCATGGCTGTATCATTTACAGTTCAGAAATGCTGGAAAGAAAAATAAATGACAAAAGGAGAACAACATTCTTCCTTTCAGCAGGGAAATGCCTGCACTCCACAAAGTAATTAAATGCTAACAACTGGCATTGTTTTTCAAGTGTTAAGCAATGTGTCAAGGGGATGAGCCAAAAGCGACACCAATCTATTTAGAAGGTCTTTGGTAATGAATGCACCATTGGGGGAAAATGAGAGAGAGGCTGGGGGGGTTAATAATCACTGCTGATGCCTCTCACAGCTACGGAATTGACAATTTGCACAGCACAAGGGCAGGCTGGGAAGATTTCAGACAGGCGTGGTTACAAGCTTATTATACTGGCTATTGTCAAATAAAATTTTAAAGCTTTAGTGGGTTTTATGCTGCTGTCACTCTGTATCATTTACTAGTGTAATTTCTGCACTGTCTATAATATGCAGGTCCTCCTTACAATTTGCTTTGTGGGAGGTTTACTGTTATTTTAACACCTTTTGAACCATAAAATATTAACTCATTAATTAGTGACAGTCAAGCACTTTGGAAATAAACTTCAAGAAAATAGAAACATTAGTGCTACACTTGTCAGCAAGCCACACTTCAAACTATAAATATAAATGATCAGCTGGTGGAGACAGCTCCTTGTTTTAAGTATCCGGGTATAAAGGTTGAATACTATACATTAGACTACAGAGAATGTTGTTAAAAAGCCATGCAGAGATAATTTGTCTTGAGAAGGTTTCAAGAGCTTTGATGTAAACAAACATATCCTAGTGTTAGCCTACACAAGCATGGTAGAGACCGTGCTCTCTCTTAGCATCTCCACTTGGTGTGGAAATGTTGGTGTCAGGGGTGAGCTGAGCTCTCAAGAATTATAAACATGGCCAGCAAAATTATTGCTCAGAAATAGCTTAATCATTCTACTATGTATGCCAAGAGGTTTTTTTTATGGGAAGTTAATGTTAATGTTGAATGATGGCTGGCACCCATAGCACCATAACACATTTTTAACAAGTCACTCAGTGTGACGTTAGTCTTTTAAATTCTGATGTACAGGCCCGATCCGAGTTCTACTGTTTATTGACAGCATATACTGTATAAGAATGCCACAATTGAATCTTATATTGTTATAGTTTATTGTTTTGTTATTTACTGCACATTGATTGTCCATGTTTCATGTATTCTGCATTTGTTGTCCCAGTGAGGTCAAAGGAGATTTTCCAGGGTATGGGGATAATAGTGTAGATTATTATTCTAATAAATAAATAAGTTTGTTAATTAATGGGATGATTACTCAGCAGACACAAGTTATCACCACCTGATTGGGTCTATCCTACTAGAAGTAAAGTAGCCACAATCCACGGGAAAATAACTCCAAATATAAATAAAATTACTGACCTGAATGAGCAAACCTGAGATGTCTCTGGTTCTCAGGTGGTTTAGAATTCTAGTTCTGTTTTAAAAAAATAAAGTATATACAACTACACAAAGCATTGGGATGAGAAATTAGGTCAATTTCAGCATTGTTGCATGTACAGTAGTATACACTCAAAACAATAATATGAAAAAATATGCAAAAATGATTTCAGCATCTTAGTGAACAACACTTGACATTCAGAGGAGAACCCGTTTCATAAAGAGAGGTTTAAATACTTGTGTCAGTGTCACTCTAGATACTGGATGAAGTCCCCACCTGGAACCTTCAATACGTCCCAGTAGACCAAGACAGCTTAGTTTCCTGCTTTTTCAATCCGCTCTGTGGCAGTACTCTGATACAACCAGCTTCTTAACTGCTATACTGATCCTGCCAATTATCTCTTAAATAATTAAGGAGTTGCAGAAATTTAATGTAGTGGATTGGAGGGGCTGCAGTAGACTGCAGTAGCACTGTATGATAGCTAGCCCCAGGGCAGCGTGGTTGTGCAATGGTTAGCAGTGCTTTCTGTGTGGAGTTTGCATGTGCTTCCCCATGTCCCCATATTCGCCTGGGCTTGCTCTGGGTGCTCCAGTTTCCTCCCACAGTCCAAAGACTTGCTGGTAGGTTAACTGGCTTCTGGGAAAATTGGCCCTGGTGTGTGTGAGAGGGTCTGTATGCATCTATCTATGTGTGCCCTGCGATGGACTGGTGTACCGTCCAGGGTGGAACCCGACTTGCTGGTGTGCCCATTGCTTGCTGTGGCTTCTCTGTGACCCTGTCTTGGAT